TCGAAAGAGTCTCTGCAGTGGGAGTTTACTGCTGATGCAAATAGAAATGCATCCTTCATTTACATAGAAGAAGATACCGAGTATGAAGAGTTGAAGAAGATTATCTCTGAAGATTTTTATCTTAAAGAGGAAGAGATCAATTTGAGTTATGGGATTTCATTGGATATGAAAACTATTGTTGAAGGCTTCCCCCCCATCTTTATAGGTAACTCTCGTCATCTCAGAACTTTCATCGGCAAGATTAGAGCATTTGATGGAACTTCCCGGTTGTGTGTTAAGGTTTGTATCTTTTTTCAATCAAATATTTTTTCAGGATAGCTTTCCTAATAATGTATTAATCCTTCCAGAACAACTCGACTTTTTGCAGGTTAATACTGCTTCAGCTAGCTACAACAATCAAGCATCTGATTTTTTTGCTTCTCATGTTCCATTGAATGCTACTCCAGTGTTTAGATCTACTGTGCAGAGAGAAAAAGAGGTACTAATCCTTAGATTGTTCAGGATAGGTTTTATGATTTTTTCTTACTTATACATTTCAGGCTATCTTTCCTAATAATGTATTAATCCTTCCAGAACAACTCGACTTTTTGCAGGTTAATACTGCTTCAGCTAGCTACAACAATCAAGCATCTGATATTTTTGCTTCTCATGTTCCATTGAATGCCACTCCAGTGTTTAGCTCTATTGTGCAGAGAGAAAAAGAGGTGCATCATTTTTCTATTCTTTTTTGTTTTGTTCTTGTTTGTCTGATTTTCTTGTAATGTTCAGGATAGGCTTCCTAATCAGGTACTAATCCTTCCAGAACAACTCGACTTTTTGCAGGTTAATACTGCTTCAGCTAGCTACAACAATCAAGCATCTGATATTTTTGCTTCTCATGTTCCATTGAATGCCACTCCAGTGTTTAGCTCTACTGTGCAGAGAGAAAAAGAGGTACTAATCCTTAGATTGTTCAGGATAGGATTTATGATTTTTTCTTACTTATACTTTTCAGGCTATCTTTCCTAATCAGGTACTAATCCTTCCAGAACAACTCGACTTTTTGCAGGTTAATACTGCTTCAGCTAGCTACAACAATCAAGCATCTGATTTTTTTGCTTCTCATGTTCCATTGAATGCCACTCCAGTGTTTAGCTCTACTGTGCAGAGAGAAAAAGAGGTACTAATCCTTAGATTGTTCAGGATAGGTTTTATGATTTTTTCTTACT